TTTTTAGTCATATATATTCTTGGTTACAAATTAACAAATATTTGTGTATGAACAACCACCACGTTAACAAGTTTCCATTGAAGAAAAAATAGTTTTTACAAAAATATATATGAATGACATTTAAAAGGGAGTACTCATGAATCATACAAAGAGGTTTTAGAAGTTCATGGGAGTTTTTGTAACTGCTGTTTCCAGTACTTCACACACTGTGCTTAGAATACAACATTAAGCTTTCAGGTCAGAGTCTCATACAGTGTAAACGGACACAGCTCTGCTTGTTGGCATGACTTCCTTTCATTGCCTTCAGCGGAGATGCAATAATTCATACCAGATTGGGCTGTAGTCATCGGTTTCTGAATGTCAGTTCTGCAATGTCTTGCAAGAATATGAAAGGATATGAATGTGTGTCCCTTCTCACCTGCATTTCTTTTCTAGTAATTCTCCCAATCTAGTCTTCTGACCCTGGTCCTCAACTTAAAATTCCTCAAAATCTAAATGGTTTGTATTGACTTCCACATCCCTGGATGAGCTTCATGGTTTAACTGTTTATAAATTGAGAAATAGATGAGCCAGAAGCTATATTGAACAAGGGAACACAGAACTGCCCATTATCCCCTCAATCACAGCACTTTTCAAGGTAAATCTGTACTTAAAACATCACTTCATTGACTGATGGTACTTGTTTATTATACAATAGTTATAAAGTCTCTAATAATGCGGTGTTTCATTCTCAGCAAAGAATGTTCCAAATTATCACTCAGGAGTAGTTTTAATGCAAGTGACACGCTGTCATCAGTCTGCCTTCAAGATTACAGCCCTGGTTAAATAGCAATCTTCAACAACAACAAACATCCAGGCTTAGGCAGTTCCCAGAATTAGGAAGAGAACGCAGTCAGGCCTGGGGCATGTACTTACTGCAACTACAAGCAACCATCTTTTCCACGCAAAATGAGGACACTGCTGGAAAGGGACCTTTTAAGGCCTAAACGTATGACTGAATTGTAGCTTTGCTTCAACAAGTTCAAGAATTAAAACAGAACCTTTATCCTTCTCTGCATGAACCACTTCAAAAAACCCAGCAAAACCCCCACAACCTCATATGAACTTTATGTTTTGTACTGTTTTGCCACTACTATTCTCTCTTCCCTTCTTTCCATTTATCTCCTCTCACCTTCTCCCTTACTGCCAGTCCACCTCATCTCCCAATTTTCCTGTTTCCCTCTATCATCACACTGAAGGGGGGCTGCTTCCCCCCCCCCCCCCCCCCCCCCCGTCGCCAGCTGTCTCCAGTGTAGTCTCTCTTGCCAAGAACAACTGCAGGCTGTTGTGCTTTGCCTCTGAGCTGTTCTCATGCAATTAAAGTAACGTGATTTTTACCACCACTGAACAACATAGTAGGAACCTGCTTTAACAACTGATGTTAACTATTTTACCATGTTGCATTTACTATGTTAGCTATCTTAATAGTTGCAGAAGTCAGTTTTGTTCAGCTGTTCTAAGAAGCAGCAGCACTGCACAGCAGAAGAGGCTTGATGTGACAGGCTAAGACATACACTAAAAGCCCCTTCCAAATGGCTGAGCAACAGCACACCAAAGGTACCAAAACCACCTTCTGGCCTTGCTCCATGCACATCTAATAGCTGCCCAGTACCCATGGTGGCTACAAGAAGTAATAGCAGATGCTCAGGTGTGACAGTGATGTTCTTGCTGATGAGTCTGAGGAGTTACGCCAACATACTGTATGTTGCTGTACAGATGGGAGTAGTAACGAGAGTGTTGATTTTGGACAGACAGTGACTAAAGGCAGAAATGGAAGGATGTGACGCTTAGGAAGCAATATATTCCGGCAGCAGAACTGGGGGAGGATGAACAACTTAGACATTTATGCTGTTCAGATGCTACCACTTACAAAGGCAAAAAAGTTCTCAACAGAATCTATAATTATCTGGGCAACATTTTGTAATGAAATCATTCTTAGTAAAGTAATAGCAATTCTTCTCTTAAATTCATGAGAAAGCATTGCAGGATTGCCACCTAGTTTTTTGTTTTTCACTGGCTGAACATGCAAGTTGCTGTGCTCAGTGGATGGTATCATAACTCCTGAAGCGTCCATGCTCCTGAGGACCAGGACAAAATATAGCTACCCTGGGAAGCACTCTCTGAAGACAGAAGGAGGGTACAAAACATACGTAACCATGGATTCTAGTTTTTCAAGTGCCCTCTGTCTTTTCAGGTCAAGCCAAATGCCCCGCTGTGAGAAATTCTTTCTCAGTAGTAGTATCAGGGGACTAAGGAAACAGACAGATGATGCTCTGATTTTCCATTCCATCCTACTGTTTAACCACATGTAAAATTTGCATCAGTTTCTCTATTTGTAGAATAGTACTACAAAATAAACACAGTATAAAGTGCTCTAAGATACTTGCAGGAATGAACTATGAACATAGTAATGTTAGTTACAGCAGACATATGGAGTGGATTGCTGAAAGGCCGGGGAATCTGAATCACGGAAGTCTTACCATCACTAATTCTGATGTCTATTTAAAATAAAACTGAAGTTCCATGGGAAAATTATTTCTGATCATTTCATTGCAATATTTGAGGATATTTCCTTGCCATTTTCTACTGCTTTTAATTATGAAGCTACACATGATGTTCTCGATACTGTCTACAAAAAATGGAGCATGGATTTTTAATGTCAGGTACATAGTTCCCTTTCTGTTGACTTCAATGATTTCTTTCTTGTATAAAACATGCTAAAAGGAAATGGTAGCCATTCGTACAATTCAAACTACTTGGTGTCAAACACCTCATCTAAGCCATTTCCCATGCAAAAAGATGAAAATCCAAAGACATCTGAAAGAGGTTAGTGGGAAAAAAAGAAAAGGACGTTACCCAATTTAGAAGACAGGCTACAGCAGTAACTAGGAGCAGCAACTTAAACTGCATATGAGGGAATGGTTCCTGGCAGTCAGATACATTAATGCGTATCTAGATGCAACTATGCAAAGCCCTCCATGGTGGCAACTCTAAACCCATACATGGTATAGCTGCAACAGCAGAACTTGGCAGCAGAGCTAAGGATGGCATCACCAAAACACTCAGTCATATAAGTCGTCCTGAATCAGGGGACTAATCTTTTTGACTAATCTGCTTTGATAAGGACTGCCAGGTGGGCAAAATAACCCCCTTTATATATAGCTTTTCACCACTACTAGAATAAAATTAGCATCTCACCAATATCTTTTGTGGTTACTAGCAAGTGCACTGAGATTAAAACGAATATATATTCAAATATTTCCAGTACGTTAGAGGAAATGTAAATGGCAGCAGCTCTGCTTATGCAAGAGATGCAGTATGTGCAATGGAAATCTCTTAGAAGTATGCCAAATAATGTTTGTTAGTGCTTTCCCTGTTAATACCATAATCTTTAACACAGAGAAAGTCTACTCCTATTTTAAAGATAAGGTCTCACTCATTACCGGGATCTTGCTCATATATGGGCCTTTTGGGGCATTGTTTTTAGTTATAGAGTTAAATACACAGTAATGGGAAGGAGACACAACTTTGTAATTATGAAAGCAGCAGAATCTTGTCAAGAGAAGTTTCCCTTGTCTCTTTTCCCTCTGTCATTTATTTACTGCTATCTCACTTAAAAAGAACTTCAGCTGGCATTTAAAGGTAGTTCTTGATCTGGTGAATACTGAACTGTGCTATTTGAAGTGACTTCTTGTTGTTGTTGTTGTTTGTCTCTTCACTATAATTAAAATTTCTAACTGGAATTTACAACTGTGCCTGAAGTGTGTTGTTATCACAGATGATATGCCAGAAGAGAGTTATGATGCCCTCCCAGAAGATGAAGAATAATGGCTGTGGCTCACAGGCAAATTACACAGTTCCTTAGTGAACACTGAGGACTAGCTTAAAAACCTCCTGGAGGCAAACAGTGGTTACCACATAATTATGTGACAAATAAGCCACAGTCCATGCAGTGAGTGAGTCTGATGGATGGGATTTTCAGATATTTTTGTCTTCATCATTCATAATTTACTCAAGCATGATGCCACTAGTGATCAATATTGAAGGCCCTCAGTGAAGGAAGCCAGCACAGAACAGAGTTGCAGCATGTATAACTTGGCAAGGAAGCACAGAATCAAACCTGCATTTCACCAAACTCATGTTTCCAACTCACTATGAGATCCAGATACAGAGGACAAGACTACCTTGTTGCTCTGAATAATTCTGAGACATCAGGAGGATTCATTTGCTGTATAGTCAAATCACGTAACTGATAACTGCATGGGTAAAACCACATTCCATAACTTACGTGGAGCATAATAGGGTCCCTTTGAGAAATTAGGGAGATACAATGTCTTAACCCTCTTGTTTGCCAAGTTAAAATCCAGCTGTTGTGTAAGAAAACGGAAAGGTTTTTGGTAATTTGTGTCTTTGGCACATACTACAGTAACAGAACAACAGCAGAGAAAGAAAAACAGGAGCTTTAGAAGACAGGCTTTCACAAGAACGGGCTTTGGAATTTGACACAGCTGTATGGTGTGAAGAAGGTGGCTGTACCTTTCAGATTTGTGAAAATAAGACAGTAAATATATCAAGTAAAAAAGATGTTGCTTCAGATAATTTATAAATAAACTGTGAGTATACATATGTATGTAAAATGTTTTAAAATGCATTGTTTCATTCATACGACATACACAGTTAAAGATCAGAAATGAAAGCTTTCATCAACAAATCTAGGTCAGTGCCGACTCTTATATTCCTTAAATTCTTTCAAAATGAATAAACAAAGTTCACTGTCAAAGTGCTAATATACCAGTGATTCTCAATTTACGGCAGAAATAATGTTCTAGCTTTCTATAAAAGAGCTGCTAAAGAGCTTATGGAGGTATTACTGCAGAAAAACAGTAACAGGTATGAGATGGTTCCTCCTACACAGTCTGCTAAGAGCAGCAGCAGTATCAGAGATCATTAGACAAACTAACCTGTGGTGTCATTCCATGGCAGATATACATGATTGGGATATTCTCTGTGTCTGGCCCTTGATCAAGGCACAAGTCACTTTTCAGGGAATTCTGCAGCTAAAATAAACAGAAAGAAAAAGAAATCAAGCAAGTCTTACATGAGAAAAAGATGGTGTGATTATTTTCTTTTCTTTGCAAAAAAATCATATGTAGCTGAGCAACGAAATGTGCAAAATTAAAAGTACTTGTTGCAGTGAAGATATTGAATAGAAAGTACCTGGACTAAATTCTTCCTTGTAGATAATCTAACACTACTGATTTCAATAATGTTGCACAAGGTTCCATGGATGGTAGATTTCAAAAAGCCTTCAGAGATAGCAATAATTTTTGATAGGTGTTTTTAAAATATTAAATCTAATGAGCCTCTGGTACACACTATATATAAAAGACAATTTTTTTACCAGTGCAGCTAGCTGAGCAGTAGGGATGGAGTTTCAAACATAGAAAAAGTCCTGTAATTAATCAGTTTTTCAGAATCACTCAGGACAGTCTTCTGATTTCTGGAAATAATTCAAAAAAATCCTTTCTGCCGACACTTAGAGACTTCTGGCCAATTGGTATGCACTAGCTCTTCTTTGCATTATTCTGGACTAACCCATGCACAGCAGTCTAGCTCTGAACAGACTGCAAAGTACTTGGCCCTGTTCATCACAAAGCCCTATATATTACCTGTGCAATGCTGAGACAGAATTTTCTGAAAGTGAAGGGCTAAATTAATGAGCACAGATAGCTGGAAGGTCTTTTTAGAGTGTGAAGCCAAAAATGTGGATTGCATACCCATGGGCATGTATAGAGGTGTTCAGTGGTATAAGATCAGTTCAGAGAACATGAGAGAATTGTCTGATGGAGGGAGTGAAGAGGTGATGTGGTTTGCAACCATCTGCAATTAACTGAGCAGTCCTGTCAGCTGTGTACAGGGGCCTCCTTTGAGGAAAACAAATTGATATGCTTAGAAAGGAAGTCTAGAAGTGCCATAGGTATGTAAGAAGTGTGGACAAGCCAGAGACCGAAGCCAGGCAGTGAATAAAATCAAAACCATGAAGTCATTTCTGCAAGATTTTCAAGTCCAAATCTAACTCTAAATTCAATAACAGACAGGATAAATCTCAACATTAAAGAGAAAATATGCATTAGGTATCAATACTGGCCTTACTCTTTGCTGCAAGCCTCAAGAATTAAATAAAGTTTCCTCTCTCAAAACTTTGTATTTCTTAGCCATAAACATAACCACATCCATGACTCTAATTGTAATCAAATGTTAGGCAGCACTCTATCCAAACTAATGATAAATATCAGCCTTATTAATTCATGCCTGGATCCATCACTACCTTTGGTTTTTCAAAATCTCCTCCACAAACTCCAATTCTAGCCCTAATGTTATAACCTTTTCCACAACAATCCCTATAATAATGGAAGCAAAAAAAATCTGCCTTGACCACCATCAGCATGCAACGTAGCTGAGAGGGCTGACCCAGCAGTAAAACACATACAGAGACTTTAGAGTCTCAAGCTCTAAAAAGAAATATAACCTTAACCCTAATAGCCGCTGCCCGGTGATTGGGCACTACAGAAAAAGAGACAAAACGCCATTATTCCTTTTCACACCAGTCCTTTTCTTATGAATCTTGAAAACAAAAAAATAAAACAAGCTCTTCAGATTTCTCAAAATTTTATCCCAATCACAACTCTACAATTAACTTAGAATATCTGTAGAGAAAACAGAAATCAGAAAAACAAAAAAGCCACTGGCCTGTTAACTAATAAAGCTGTTTCAAAATCTGAGGCCCAGACTCTCGGGAACCACCCCTTTCCAAAATCTAGTGGCTTTGTGGCAACCAACAATTAACTTGGGTAATGCAGTTTTAGACTATCAAGACTTGATCTTAATTACAACCCAAAATATAACCATCTCGCTAATCCCCACGCTGAAAAATTGAAATAATTAGTCATTACTGCGATTTGCTCCCTCTCAAACTTAGAGTCTTACAGAATACAGAGATAAACTAGACCGCTGAAATTCTGAATTTGTAAACTTATCTCAAACATCAAGCTGAAATCAGGGAGTCAGTCCCTACACTAAATACATCAACTTTTGGCCCACTGATAGTGCCTTCTCATAACTCTAAGGGTACTGCAGAATGCAGAAGGAAATTTGGTTCCCAAACCTTTACTCTGCCACCAACCCTAACCCTAGCTATATGCCAAAGCATAAACTAGAATGATACAACTATTTTCCTAACTCTCACAGAACAGGAGGAAATTTAGGATTCAAGAAATAAATATAGGTGGTGACACTTTAAATGCCTATATCCTCACCCTCACCCCTATTCAGATAACTTTTGTAATTACTCAGTATTTTTTTTAATTAATGATAACGCTATAGTAGCAATATCTATTTTCTACAAAAAAAACAAAGACAGTTGATGAACAGAAGCACTTAGAAAATCAGCAAACAGCTGACTTGCTTTGAAATATCACGCCTTTCTCCACTCTAAGACATGCAAGTGAACAGGAAAGCAGACATGAAGAAAGATTAGAGATCCAAGCAATTACTTTACTAAAAAGATTGAGGCACTTTATCTTTTTGTTTCATACAACAGTATTTCATAAAACAGTAAACTCTGTATTTCATAAAACACTCCCCTTTTACCTGTATAGATATGTTGCCACAGCTGTCCACTACTTCTTTTCTGGCAGTACAAATAATGAAATAAAGCCTACTCCTCACATCTCTCTTAGCTGAGGCTACTCTCACACTGCAGACAAAAGACTGCATCACGTGCATTATTATGCAGTACGTAAATATGCGTGTTCTGCTCACCAGTGAGTTCAGTATTTCTGTGACAAACTCTTCTGATTCTTCTTGGTTTGTATATTGTCAGCAAGGAACCGTCAAAAGCTCATGAAAAAGTCTCAGCAGAATATAAAAATCAAAGAGTGCCTCTTCACTGATTTTTATTTTGACTTACATGATGCAGAGTTAATCCTGAGACTATGCAACTAGTACCTTAGCTATTCCACTGGTCTTCCTTTTTTTATCTAGTATCAATTCTACCTGTAATCAAAGATTTTTTTTAGCCAGAGGTACCTACGAGCAGAACCATGTACCTATTAGCTGCTCTGCTTCCTTAGGAAACTCCACACCTGATTAGTTCATGGCATCACTGAGGGCAATTCCACACAGTCTATGGAACAGGCTCCTTGCACACAGGTGTGATTTTGGCATCGTTCTGAACTATTCTAGAAGCTAACCATTACCTCATGCATTTAATAGTGAACTAAACCCTTTGTTGGAAGTGGCTTTCTTCTGTTTTCTGACTGAATAAAAAGTCAGCACGATAATTTTAATTGATCATCAAAGGGGTCATGGAACTTTGTGGAGCATACCATCACTTCATTTGTCAAAACAGAGCAGCTGCTTTATGGCACCTTCAAGGGTCTTCTCAGAGCCATACTGGCAAACTGCACAACTCCGACTTCTTTTTGAGGGGGAATGTCTCAAACCAAATCTCTCACTTGCATGACCTGCTCTTACTAGTTACGTTTCCTAATTGGGACTTGCGTGCAAAACAGCAAATTTAATTCACAGGAATCAATTTTTGTGAATATGACACTGGATAGAGAATGTGAAAAGGTCATCTTAGCTCTACTGGCTTATAATGGGTCTATATTAACTTACTATGCTCATCTTCCATGTCATGCACACTTGCCCTCTCTGTTCAGATTCTAAGGGCAAGAATTGTCTCTGCTTTAATTAGTACAGTACAACTCAAGCATGATTTCAACATAGACAAGGGTATTACTGTCACACAAGTAATGATGATGATCCCAAAATACAGGCATTTAAGGTTCTAAATTAAGATCTGGCTACAATATCAAGAAAATTGCAGTTGAAATACTGAGCCTATTTTGTTAATTCACCTCCTGCCACAGATCTTCCAACTGACAGCTCCAATGTGTCTGAAAAATCATGCCTTGAGTATCTCTGAGTGGAATGCAAGCCATGAAACAAACAAACAAAAATCAGGGTGGAAGATAATGTTTGGAGTACCTCAGCATAAATGACAGCAGAGCAGCTGTCTCTGTCAACGAACCAGTCTAACAAATTATTTAACTAGTGAGTCAAGTTTATCTGGTTCTTCTACTTAGAGACAGGCATTGTCTTCATGAATCACTTCCACTATTACACCTTTTTCCCCCACCTCTTTAGAATGGGAAATGTAAACAAGATCCTTACCACCCCATAGGCGACAGTATCTGAATACATTCTCATTTCTGGATACACGCTGACAAGATACCACCTAAAGGTCTTGCACTGGAGCTTTTTCCTCAAGGCCTTCCTCTCAGAAATATCACCAATATCAATTCCAGAGTCCTGCACACAAAACAAAGCACAGAAAAAGCAGAAAAGACATCAGTGATACACTTCTGTGTAAACTAATCAGCCAGAGTCTCCCTCACTGCAAAGATATTATGACCTATGATAATCACCAACTTTTGGTTGTGAAGTGAGTCTGCATCCCAGAAGTGCCCCAATTAAATATGATACAGGTCACCATGGCAGGGTTTCTTTCCAAGTCTGCTTTGGTCAACGGAGCCACTCCTATTGACTTCAGTGGGGTTTTGATCTAGCTTCCAATGAATATCACTGTTGTTCTCTCATTTCCTGGCACTTTCCAAATTGAAAAGTAATTGGCAGGAAGTAGCAAGCTGCCCTAGAAACAACCTTATTGCTGGCATCCCACTGTGGCCTGCTCATTAGTATATGACACTTTTGGCCACTTCTGAAATCTGGGTTTACTGCTTCACTGCAAAGAGCAGAAGCTCTGCTCACCTTTCTGAAATATCACTTATTAAATTTGTCTTGTAGTGTAAAAAGAGAAGTTGCTATTTTTGTTAAAAGCAATTGCAGGATATGTTCTCCCCTAATTTTTATTCTGCTTTAGATTTCTGGCTGACCTAATTTCTACTTCTCATAAGAGCAGATCATAAAGCGTGAGTTTCATAAAGCCCCTGTATATAAAATCAGTAATTTATCACATTAAAATCACGCAGCGGAAATTTTGAGAGAGGGATCTAAGTGCAAATCCATGGCTGCTATTGACAGGAAGTAAAATGAGACATTTTGCTCCACACTGTGCTCTACCACTTCTGCCTCAGAACAAAATGCAGGATAAATAAATTTTCGTAGGGAAATCCTATAATCCATCTACTTAAACAACAGCCTTTACTGGGCCATAAACGCCCCACAGATTTTGTCAGCCACCAGATATGATTTAAAAATAACATTGGAAGCACTGAATTTTCTTAGTTACACGTGAAAAAGGTATCTTTATATGTATCTACATTTCTGTGCTGCTGAAGCAATGACTGCTTCTTACATCCCAAAGCACTGAATTAATGTTAATCTGGAACAAGTATATTTTATAATGGAAGCATTTTCTAACTAAAGTAAAACTGACTTCCACATTAGCAAAGTATACTAAAAAGTTGGAAACTGAAGTCTGGTATAAACTGGCATAACTCAAGTTAATCCTTAAAAATTATGACTCCCCTCTTCTCAAGCTCTACATCATTCATAAAACTTTATGTGGAACTGCTCCTTAAGCGATCATTTCTTCCTGACTTTTCTAGCAAGTGACTGGATAGAGGAACATGCTGTAGGGTGCTTTAAGACAATCAAGTGATCCCATGGACAAATCCCGCTCAGGTACCGCTCTGGCTGCACTTGCAGTTGCCAGCATATCTGCCACCTGTGTCAAGGAAAAGGAGGGTACCAGCACACAGACATTCGACTTCCAGCACTAACAAGGCTACCTGGGATCAGGAATTAAATTGGTCCAGTGCATCCCAACTCCTTTCTCACGCAACCCTGCAGGCACCAACGCTTGTTTCCTCACAGTTTATTGTGTAAGGTAAGAAGGAGCATCTGAGGCCTCAGCAATCACATCCTCCTATGCAGCTGGAGAAGGAAAACAGCTCACATGTAGCACACTGGCTTTACCACCAGCAATGACTCAGTGTGTTCCCCAAAGCTGAGAATATGATGGGAGGAAACAAAGAAAAAACAAAAAAACCCAAAACATAGGGAAGGACACATGGAGAGCACAGCTCTTACTTCTGGGACTGGAAAAATCTTTCTGTTGGGTTTTAAGTGCTTTTCTGAATCTATTTATCTAAGTAGTTACAATGCAGAAATCACCATGGTATCTGAGATCCCCATTTGAAGCCCTCAGTACTTAGAACCACCCACAGAGATGCCAAGAGGGCAGTCACAGCATACTGCCAAATGAGTCTAACTCCTTTTTATTACTATTAGCTCTCACAGACTAAAACCTTTGGCAACATCTGACTATGCAGCTTCTCAGAGATCTGGGAATTCTTCCATGGAAAAAACAAGTCCTGTGGTTAACATTTTGGAATAACATATTTCATGGAAAGTCCCAACTGTTATAACTGAATACATTTCTCTTACCTACACAGTCCATTACCAGTGCACTGTTTCATCAGCTTCCAGATAGAGACTTACTCCTATAGTTATCCACTTGTGTAACAGTATTTGGCCATGCTAACTGTCTGTCCTCATATCATGTCTCTCACAATGATGTCTCAACATCTTTTTGCCTAAGCTGAAGCTAGGTTTGATTTGAAAATTGTCTCTCTCTGGTATTTCACCTTTAATTTAATCTTAAGGTAAATGAAGATGAAACAGAAATATTGGCATCCAGCCTGATATCTAAATTTGACTTAAACCATCCCCAGCCTTTCTCACCCACCATCTCTTTGCCCCCTGCATACTGGAAGTCTGTATTACAAGCGTCTCACAAACTTTAAGTTATTTTTTAAGTTGCTTCTTTACACTGAATACTCCCTCTTTCTACTGATGTTTCCACACCAACCAGAGCCTGCATTGCTCGTAACCTTTTGATACATACACGAGGACTCCCACTAATGACGTACATTTTCGTCATACTGACTGATTCCATTACAGTGCTTGGGAGTGTAATTTCTTTCCCTTAAAAGGCCAGAAGCTTTCCTTAAACATGTACTTGTTTCCTACTGCTCTAGAATCAGTTCAGTACTCCCGAAGTTTAGCATGGAAAGGAAAAGGAAGTCCCAAGTCTTCAGAGCTCCTCCCCTGGTTCTCGGCACCAGGCCTCACGCAATGAACACAAAGATGCTTAGAACAGCTCCAAATTACACAACTGATTTGGGATACCTGGGCACATGTCAGGCTGTCAGAACAAAACACAGCCCCAACACTCTTCTAAGTCCTTCCCTATTTTCCACACGGCAGAAGACAGAAGCTGGGTGAACACCACCTGAATGTACCCAGCTGTAAGTCACAGACCCCATCTGACTGGAAAACCTTCTGATGGTCATGAAGGTGCCACGCCGTCTCTGAACATCCTCTAGCAATTACTAGGTAATGAGTACGTTCACGTTTTATAGGCCTGTTACAACTGTGAAAACTAAGCTGGTTCCCAGTGTATTTTAAATTAGTATGTGGGCATGTGTGTATTTATTTGGTTTTCTACAGTGGTGAGAAATACAAACGAAGGTGCTTTGTGCTACAGGTTCTGTGCATACACATAGTAATAGATTTCTTCTTACAACAGAGGCATCTCATTACATTGCAGAAGAGGCTACCACTATTAAAAGCTGATTTAGCGCTTGCCATTTCCAGCTTTTAAGTCTGCACTACAGTTTGACAGCAGTAGCCTTTGTGAAGATGAAGAGAGAATATAATCTGCATTGCAATTTATTCAAGCAGTTCAGTGTGATGAGTAGTACATTTGTGGTGGGAAAATGACTGGTGATGGAAGTAGTACGAAAACTTCTTATTCCTCGTCAAAACTATGAACAAAATTAGTTTTGGCAGTACAAGATCTACCGTGCAAACACCCTGATGCACTTTGTGACCTGAAGAAATCAGTTCAATCCACACACTGCATTTATTTTTCCTTTGTTTAATAACATATGTTTGCTTCCTTTGTTTAAAATTTATTATAACAGGCTTATCTTTTTCTGATCTATCAGCAGTCAAGACTGTGTTACTATTACTTGTTAAATTTCCATTTAACAAGTAACAATAACAACAACTTATCTTTGTATTCTTTATGAATTTGATATCCAAATTGCATTCAAATCTCAACTTTGCACAAGATTAAGCACCACTACCATCATATCTGGATGAATATTATGCAAATACATGTATAACATTGTATATCCTGGTTAGCAAAAGGAATTTCTAAGTTTTGTGTTAACACTATGTTTGCAAATCAAAAAATTTAACCTTGATCAATAAAGATCAACCAATCTTCAGCAAAATAACAATAAAAAATAGAAACTGAAATTTAAATCTATCAGGTTAATCACAAATACAAGTCATTTGAAATTGTTTTGATGTGAAATAAGTAACCCTGTCTTCCAGAAATGTCTTTATTCATGTATGCACTGCTGTGCGACTGCTCAAAACAGGGACACCTAAGGGGTAGCTTGGATTCTGTGAACATGGGACTAACTTCTAG